TTCAAAAAACCGTCATATACCATTCTTTTTTTGGATGGACAATAGTTTGCTAAAGAGTTAGTGACATCATTTCACATTATTGGAGACTGATAGATCTAAAGGATTAGTGTAACTTTAGGGCTTACTTTCCGGCGCTAACTTTTATATTAAAGTTGTTTTTAGCAGGGTTCTTTGATAACTCAATGAGCTCTATGTTCGCTGAAAGTTTTGTGCTTATACAATAAGCCGTTCTTGAAAAATCAGAGAAATGAGAGAGCAGAGGACCTTATGGTCTCAAAGTTTCAAAATATTCAAAAATATACAGTAGTCATAAAAAAACCTGATCTAAGTCATTCCGTTGCTGATTATTACATAACATGGCATCCAGAATTTCCCAGCTCACATTCTCTCAGCTCCATCTCAATTCCATGTACATTTGTACCCTCAAATATTTTTCCATTGTTTCTAACAACTTCGAAAACGGTATATGGTGCAATCAGAACCTCTCTTTCATATGGATATTGTGAAAGTTGTCCAATAAACAGAGCTGTACGATAATTAATTATTCTATATCTGCATATTGTTGAATATTTACGAACCGAATTAGAAGCATTACCATTTGCTGTTGTTTTTAAAGCAAAGTCAAGTGCTATTTGTTCATTCGTTGATGCGGATAGAAACGAACGATTCATAACACGTTGACCCACTGTATACTTAAAAATGTCAACATCAGTCATTTTCATACCACGATAACATTCAGCGATATACGTGTATGAATTTAATTTTGGATGTTGTGCAATAATTCCTGCTATTCGTCCGTACGTAGTCCAGAAACGCTGGAATAGAGTTGTAAAAACATTCAGTTCAACGTTCAGTACTTCCTTTGATGTTCGAGCTAAATGGAGCAAATTCACATTTTACGTGGATAGAAATTGAAGAGTCTTATCAAAATGAGTGTCCGACCCTAAATTTCTTAGTTTTTAGTGTTGGGATACGGATCCTAGGAAATTTCCTGGATTTTCTAACTTTTTCCTAAGTTTGTTAAACAACTTTCTAGATGCTTAGGAATCTGGTATTTCTAGATCTGTTTAGGAATTTCAGATTTTCTAAGAAACTTAAAAGATTTCCTGGATTTCTAGCAAATCGTATTTTCAATATCTTCACACGTCCCCACTGCCTCGTCACGTTAAACATTAATATCTCACATGTAAGGTGTACACGCAACTTTCGGTGTTTAGAAACACAAAAAAAAACATCTCTTCTTTATGCTCTCTAGGTTCAAGATATATCGAACTGTTTTCTTTTCTAAACCTGTATATAGTAGAAATCCGTCTGTAGATCATTTTTAGTCATAGTTTACTATGGATGGAAACGCATCCCTGTGAGACAAGGGCCGAATGGCTTGTCCGATTTTTATGAGTTCCTGCCAATGATAACAAAAGGAAAAACAGAACCGTTTTGCGTGGGAAGGTAAAGCAAATATCGAGGTTTATTTTCAGTCTATATAGTGTCACAACGGCAAATCAATTCTGGGATAGCAAGAGTCGAAAATGATTTTGTGTTTTTCGATAGTTTTAGTTTAAAATACTATAATGGAATATATTCCGCTGGTATTTTGACAGAATAAAACTATATATTAAGAGCCGAAAACGAATAGTAACCCAGGTTAGGATAGTTTCAATCAAAACAAAGTGTTTATAGATCAAAAAGTTAAAAAAGAATACAGTTGATAGACCTAGAAGATTCAGAATGTACGGAAAATCTAAAAAAAATTCTTTTGATTTTGGAATAGAGATAAGACACTTACAGTTACCGTTTTTTTACTGACTACGGAATATATGAATTTGACTTCTTCATTAAAACGTGTATAAAAAGCTGTTTCTAATGTATAAGCACGTATAACATGTCTTGGATCATCTTCTTTGGCAGTTAGACGAAAAAGTTGTTTAACCTCGTCAATTCCAGCTGAATTCCTCAGTTCATCACTTTCCAAATAATCATGTATAATTGAATCAATTCCATATGGCAAATTGAAACTCAGTGTTTTCAATTTTCCTCTATATTTACGAGCCTTTTTAATCACTTCGTCTCCAACGGACAGCCATTCAATATCACAAGTTTCTGGAACGAAACGGTTATGGCTAGAAGCACCATCAGCAGTAGAAAATGGATTTCGTAATAAAAATTTTATTTCTCGTCTACCAGCTTCGTCATAGGGCGTGAAATCAAATGCATTTCGCAATGTTCGATCCGCTTTATATTTCAATAATAACTGAACAATTTCGATATGACCAAAAAAACATGCGGCATGCAATGCCGTGCTTCTACCGTGTCGTGTGAGTTCAAATCGATTAATATCATCTACGGTCATTGTGACAATTAATCATTGTGCTGTATCTATATCATTATTCCGACAAGCAGTATAAAATTCACTAGGAATGGTAGTTGCTTCAGTCATAGTCGCTTTGCATATCAAAGGGTACAAAATTCATGTAAAGTTAACTTTCTTCACCAAGGGTTCTTTCCAACTTTTTCTCTTCTAATACCAATGTGTGATGAAACAGCTTGTTATCTGTTTCAAAGAAAAAACGAATCTTTATATGGAGAAGAAGACAAAAGAATTTCGTGATCTTGTGAAATTACAGCATACGGCCATTTTCCGAGAACGCGAGAGATATATTTTGTGTTCTTCGCATTCGCGGCGAACTAAATTATTTTTACCTTTTCGTGTCACATGTCTTCTTACTGGCTATAGACTTGCAATAGATATCTAGCAGAAATTGTTTTTGTCTTACAAGGTAACGCTCGTCTGCGTTCACTCGGTGCCTTGACTTTAGGAACTTATATCTACGAACGACCTTCCATCACCTTACCTTGTAAGGAAAAAGCACTAAATGCTAGATATCTATTTTAGGAAACTTATTTTCGGAACTTATATCTACGAACGACCTTCCATCACTTTTGAATCCACGACAACGCTAACGCCTCTCTCAGGCCAGCATTCGCTAGGGGACTATTCTGTCAGGTTCATAATCTAATGTAAATCTAAAAGGTTTTCTCCAGACCTTGCAAAGATCTCCAGAGGTCTAAAAATATTTCTGAATTCAAAACAATTTCTGCTAGATATCTATTGCAAGTCTT